TAAGCTGGCCTGCTTGAGCAGCTCAGTGCGGATGACTCTGTCCCTCCAGAAGATTCCAAAGATTTGACGAAGGCAACAGATATGAAAACTGTTGAGCCTCTTTTCCTGAAGAGAGTATAATGTCCATGTCTCACTCCCATTCAAAAGTGTAGAGATAACACATGCACGATACACACAGATCTTTGTGTGTTCTGTTATATTGTTGTTTTGTCATACCCTCTTGTTCAGAGGCTTTTCCAGTGCAGATGTTGAGTTCTGTTTCAAGTGAGAGGTTGACTGTGATAGTGAACACCAGGTATGTGAACTCGTTCATCACTTCAAGTTCATAGTTGTTGATCTTGATGGAGGGTGCTTCCTCAACTCCTTGGCACATTATGTTAGTCTTTTTTAGGCTTATAGTAAGCCTGGAGTCTTGACAGGCTTTGGAAAAACTGTCCATTAGGCTTTGAAGATGAGCTTCTCTGTGGGTTGTCACTGTTGCATCATCAGCAAAGAGGAAGTGTTGGATAAGAGCCTCCTGAGTCTTGGTTTTAGATCTGAGTCTTGCAAGATTGAACAGATTCCATCAGATCTTGTATGCAAGTAGATTCTCTCAGTTGAGGAACCAAAAGCTTGTTTCAGTAGCAGGGAGAAGAAGATCCCAAACAGAGTTGGGGCAAGTACACAGCTTGTCTTAACTCCGCTACGAATCTGGAAAGCCTCAGACACTGAGCCGTCATATAGGACTGTGCCGTACATGTTTTCATGGAAGGATCGAATCATGCTTAAGAGCATGGGGGGACATCCAATCCTTTCTAGAAGCGCGAATAGTCCACTTCTACTGACAAAGTCAAAAGCCTTTGTGAGATCAATGAAGACTATGTAGGGGGCTTTTTTTTGTTCTCTGCATTGCTCTTGTAGTTGTCTCAGTGAGAAGATTGTGTCTAAAATAGACCTTTCAGCTCTGAAGTCACACTGTGATTCAGGATAGATTCTGTCTGCAAGGGTCTGAAGTCTGTTCAGGACAACTTGGGCAAAGGCTTTTCCCATAATACTAAGAAGGGAAATGCCACAATAGTTGTTACAGTCGCTCCTGTCACCCTTGTTTTTACAGAGAGTAATGATGTTGGTGTCTCTCATTTCTTGTGGTACTTTGCCTTCTTTCCAGCATAGGCAGAGCAACTCATGAAGATGTTGCAGTAGAATAGGTTTTCCACATTTTTTGACCTTGGAGGGTAAGCAGTCTTTTCTGGGGGGGCCTTTCCATCAGGGAGGCCACCTGTGGCAAGGCTAAGTTCCTCGACAGTCGATTCCCACCCATCATCGAGTTTGTTTATAACAGGCAGCTGTTGATGGCTGCATCCATAACAATATTTTCATGAGAGTAAAGCTCAGAATAGTGTTCTACCTAGCGATCCATCTGCTTGGTCTTTGATTGTTTCCCCTGTTCTTGATTTCAATGGAGCTATCTTCTTTGAAGTTGGTCGCAAGACTTTCTTGATCCCATCATACATGTTTCTGATATTGCCTGCATCAGTTGCTACTTCATAGAATCATAGAATATCAGGGCAGGCCTGATCTTAAGATTTTAAGCCTGACCTTAAAAACTTCTAAGGAAGGAGATTCCACCACCTCCCTATGCAACGCATTCCAGTGTTTCACCACCCTCCTAGTGAAAAAGTTTTTCCTAATATCCAACCTAAACCTCCCCCACTGCAACTTGAGACCATTACTCCTTGTCCTGTCCTCTTCCACCATTGAGAATAGTCTAGAACCATCCAACCATACTTGGATGCTTTCACAGAAGTGCAGCCAATAGTCATTAGCGGAGCATTGAGCAGCTTGTTGTACCTTGGTTCTTGCCACTCTCTTGTAAGGTTTTTTCATTAAGGTCTCTCTTGTAATTGGTTTGGGCTGTGTGTTTGGCCTCTATGACTGGTGTCAACATACTGGAATATGGGTCAAACCAGTTGTTGGTCTTATTTTCCTTCTTTCCAAAGACTGACAGAGCTGACATCATAGACTGTGTTCTTCAGTTGCTCCTGGGTGCTTGTGACACAATCACTGGTGTCAAGGGCTTGTTGTAGTATGTTCTTGTACTGCTGCAACTTTTATTGGTCTGCGATGGCACTGAGGTTAATATGAGGACATCCTTTTACTTTAAATCTATGTATTTTCTTTGGTTTAAGTCTGACCTTGCTGCATACCAGAGAGTGGTCTGTGTTGCAAACAGCACTTTGATAACTGCGGGTAATGAGTATGGTGTTAAGGTTGGTATGCCTTGTGATGATAAGATCCAGTCGGAGCCAGTGGCCAGATCTGGGAGGTTTCCAAGACACTTTGTTTTGTGACTTTGTCTGGAAGAATGAGTTTGTTACACAGAGGTAGTAATAGGAATAAAAATCTAGAAGCCTCTGACTGTTTCCATTCTTCTTACCAGTTTTGTGTTGACCAAGACAGTTGGTCCATGCTCCCACCCTTGCATTAAAGTCACTTAGCAGGAAAACATATTTGTGTTTCGGAATCTTGCTGATGGTGATGTTCAGCTGGTCTTAGAACTGGTCCTTGATATCAGAAGATGAGGAAAGTGTTGGGGTATACACACTCACAAGGTTGACTGGGCCCTCAGATGTGAATAGGATAGTGCCAAAATTCTCTCTGATCCATTTGTAGGTGGCTCAACCATCCCCAGAAATGAGTTCTTGATGGCAAATCCGACTCTGTGCTCTCGCATTTCTTCTGCGTTTTTCCCCTATCAGAAAAAATGTGTAGTCTTTTGTTGTGACAGATCTGCTTGACGCTAGCTGAGTTTCTTGGAGGGATGCGATATCCACATTGAGTCGTTTCAGCTATTCATTGATCACAGCAGTTTTACGTGCAACGTTGATCTGTTGAAAGTCCTCAGATACTCTAATTGTCATGGTGTGAATGTTCCAGCACCCTATCTTTAAGGATATTTTCTTTCTTTTACCTGGTTTGCTTGTGCATTGGTTACAGTCCACTTATCAAGTTATAAAACTCTAAGCTCCAAGCACCCATGAAAGCAGGCAGACTGTGGAGGGACAACACCCTATTGTCTGGGGGCTGCCCAGTTTTATAGGGGGTGGTGGTTGCCCAGCGAGATATGATGATCTCTCCCACCATCGGAGGCAGCCCCTGGCGTTCTACTCTACACCAATTGAGTAAGAGCTTAGAACCGGTGACTGCTGCCTCCCGTGTTGTGTCGATGCTCGAGGTGAAGCTGGAGTTCCTCTCCAGGGCGCAAGTCTGGGCAGATGATATGGAGGTCCTGAGTTTCCCATGCATCAGGACCCCCCCTCTCGGCATCATCAGTAAAATCCACAGGAGAAGAAGAACCAATACATCTGGTACCCAATGCGCTGCAGGAATTGCCAAAAAGATTAGTACTTGACCACCTTTGGGGCTCCACTCCAGATTTTCAGTCTGCGTTTACTCTCATATCCTTACATTCTCCCGAATCCATCCACTAGGCAGTGGGGCTTTTCTGTCAGGGGTTGCTCCCTTAATCTTACAACCTGCCGGGCTACCCACAAGGCAGTGGGTTTGATGAGCCGCAAATAGTACCCTCTACTCTCATTATGATAGCAGGCATAGCCTGACCTGACACTCAAACCAAACTGTAAACCCTTTATATGATGGAAATCACGTCAAGCCAAGAGGTGCTGCTGCACCCTCAGTACCCCTTCTTTGTAAGAATGCACACAAGTTGCTTTCAATGGGGATCTTTCTCAGAAAGTTGAAGTCCCTGAGAGAGAAACAGGGGGCTAGGAAACAGGCTGGGGGTGAGAAACTCCTAAATTCTTCCCCTAGTGATGTCACTGGAATGCTTTGTGCCCTTCGGCTAGTGACTTCACCACTGTATGCCTCAGTTTCCCCAGTTGAAAAATGGGGAGAATGATATTTTCCTGACACACAAGTTGTATTAGGTTTAATAAGCATTTGTGAAGGGCTACATGGATGTTAATATTATAAAATGAGTGCAGGTTTGCAAACCAACTTCTGTAAAATGTCCTTCAAACTTGGTTCCTTGGTTGCACAACAGAAAATATAATAAAATAAGGGATGAGTTCATAGCTTCAGCCCTTGCATGTCACTCATCCCATTTTCAGGAAGGAAACAATTGCAGGTCCCTTCCTCACACACCCACGGGCCTGACTGCTCGCACTCACCCGAAGGCATCCCTCTTACCCACCCGTTAACAGTGGGAAGAATCTTTAACTCTCACTTTTTATATGGGGACATTGGGCCTGACTGTCCTCTCACTCACTTCAGTTATACACAAGACGAACATGGTTCAGTACATCCAGCGGACCACTCCTTCCATGCATGGAACACTGTGGTCCCCTACACCTGCTGTCCACCCCTGCTGGGACACTACTGCCCTATTCTCCCCCCCCATGCAAGGGGTACTACAAGCCCACTCTCCCTCCATGTGCCCTACTCTCCCCTCCATGCCAGGGACACTACTGCCCCCTCCTTCACCTAGGCAAGGGGCACTATTGCTCCCTCTCTTCCCCAGGCCTGAGGCATTACTGCCCACCCCCTGCACGTTCCCCCCTGGCATTTCTCTTGCCCCCCACTCAGCCCTGGGGCAGTCCTGACCTCCCCCCTTCCAGGATGAACCTGTTCTAAATCCCCCCCCCAGTAGTTTAGGTGATGGTACAGGCTGTCTGTCCCCCCCTCCCCCAGCTGGGAATGGTGCAATCCACATCCCACTCCTGGCACAGACAGTGATTAACTGCCGCCGGTGCCAGGCAGAGGGTTAAGGAAAGGGGGGGAAGGGATGATTGGGCCGGCCGCACGCCAAGAGCTGAGCCGCTGCTCTCTCCTTATTGGCCAGCACGGTTGTCGGCCATACCCCTTCTCCGTCTCCCATTGGTAGTCGTCTCCGTGAGGCCCCGCCCCGCCCCCTCCTCGCCGGGGTCATTTAAGTTTATGAAGAAAATAAATAAATAAATAAAATGGGAAATAGAAATGCGTAGAAAGAGGAGGATTCGCAACCTAACCTGCTGTGTTGGGCGGTGTGGCATCGGTAGCCAATCACCACTCACCCGCCGGGGGGACTGACAACATAACTAATCCAATGAACGTCCTGTCTTCGCGAAAGTGGACTTCATCTTTCGGATCTCTGCCAATGACAGACGAATTTCAGTTGATGAACATGTGGCTGGACCAATCGACTGGGCGAATAGCGGGACCTGAGAGCACCGCTACACCAATAAAGAACCAGCATCCAGAGGCTGGCGGGGAGGGAGAGAGTGCGTGCTGGTAGGCGGGGCTCGATTGGGAGTAGCGTGGTTCTGAGCCAATCGGTATCTGCGTATCCGGGGCAACAGGCCAATGAGGGAGCCGGCTAGGCGGCGGCGGCTGCCTGTGAAAGTGTGGAGCTGCTGCAGAGGGAAGAGAGAAGATGAGAGAGGTACCGCGCTTCCGGGGTCAGCCGAGGGTTAGGGGGCGGAGCCGGCAGGTTGCTCGCCCCGCCCATGGGGGGTACCTGTGGGGTGGGGATTGAGGAGAAGGGGAGGGTAGCTGGGGGCAGGCGGCTCCTCTGAGCCGTTACTGAGGTGCCCCGGCCGGTCTCGCGACTCCTCCCCCCCCCCCGCCGGCGGGGCAGAGCGGAGCGGGGTGCCCGAGGCGCTGGCGGGTCTCGGCTGGTCTCTCGGGGCCGAGCAGCTGCCCCGGGATCGGGCCCCCGCCTGAGCCGGCTCCGCGCGGCGAAGTTTGAGCCAAAGAAAAGTTCTGCTGGAGGCGCGTCCCGAGCGCGGGTCCCGCCCTGGGGTTCAAATCCGGCTGGAAACCGTTAAACCCCCGCCAAGTGCCGCCTCCCCCCTCTCGCGCTTCCAGCTCCCGCGCTGTGGCCCTAAGCCGGGGACGCCAGGGGAACGCTCCCGGCGATAAAGCGCGGTCAGCGCGGGCGCTTTTCAGCCCTAAAACGCTCGGGGAGGGGCGTGTTTTTTCACCCCCCCCCCCCCCCGAGGGACTAAAGTTGTAGCGCTGGAAGTGGCCCTGCGCATCTCGTCCTGTCAGCGCTTTGAACCCCCGCCTCTCCCGCCGCGCGGCGCTCGCCCTGCCCTGGGGACAGAGTATTGCACCGGGGCGGTGAGCAGGCGCCGCTGCCGTCAGTCTGTTCCGTCCCTTAGGGCGGCACAGCCCCGGAGTCCCTGCACCCCGCCCGGCGCGCTCCCTGCGAGCGCGCTGCTCCGCCGCTGCCCTTCCCCCAGACGCTGACAACCAACCAACCAATATCTAAGGATTATAAATAGTGCTGTAAATAACTGTAAAGGGGGGGTGGGAAAGGGGAGAGCAGTGGTTCATGTGAAGAGAAGGCATGTGGGGTTTGAGTTGTCCGGGTGAAATTCAAGTGTTGAAGATACTAGGTTGACTCTGAAACAAATGTCTTGGTTCAGGTGTCCTTCCATTGCCAAGTCTGAGCTTGTCCCACTCATGGCACCAGGTGCTTGGAACTCTTGTTGTTTTTTTTTGCCTGACAAAATAACACCTGTATCTCCTGCTCTACCAAATTATTTCCCTTTTCACTTTGTTGCACAGCAGTTAGGTACCATGTTTTATAAAAGGGGTGGTAAATTTATTATAAATTAAATGAATAAAGAGTAGCTTGGCTGGTCAGGAGGGGTAAGGTATGCATCTCTGTGGCACAAGTGGTACCGTTTTGGATTTCAGCCTTCAGACTAGTAGAGAAGATGTGCATTTTGATCCTATGACGGGGACAGCCAGTTAGTACCTGAGTGCCCCCTTTGGACAGTTCACCGAGCAGTTTAGTTTTCAAGAAAGTCAGTTATTTGCAATTCCAGGGCCAAGCATCTGCAGATGCAAAGATCACAGGGCCTCCTGTCCCAGATTCCTGCAGATCCCTCAATAGAATCATAAGTTAAATGAAAGGGCTACTGCCATTTACATCACTTTTCTTTTTTTTAGAGGTGGAGAAGTAAATATAGCTGTAAAAGAGAAAAGATTGAAATGAGGATGCTCTGTGGATAGGCAAGAGAAAATCCACTTTGGGGTGTTTGGATAAATACAGCATCAGGACCGAAATATATTTTCACTTTGAAATTGGATAGTTTTTTTGGAAAACATTGTAAATGGTTATTCCAGTGTTTAAAATAATTTCAATAATTTAGAAAAGTTCCAAGGCTAACAAAGGAGAAATAGTGAAGTGTTAATTCTCTGACCATGTCCTGACTGTCTCAGCAGGTGATGAGAGGGTATCAGTTACATGATTTAGAGGCTGGGACTGCTGGTTGACCAATGTCAATGACATCCCTAAGTGTAATAGATTGGTCAGAAAGAAGGATGTGTTCCTCCCTCCCCCCTCCGAGACATAGTCACTCACACCAGCTCTTTCTGTCACAGTGAGTTTGAATGAAGTATCAAGAAAATCTTAGAACATACTTGTCTCCAGGAAATAGTTTTCATGAGATCTACAATATGTTGGATTCTAGAATCCCCATCAGTAACAGCACTTTTGCTCAAAGACTCTTACAGCACTCGACAGACATTAGTTAAGTATAACAACCCCCATGTAAAGTATGTAAGTATTATCCTCATAGAAAAGGACATGGAGGCATATATACTTTAAGTGAGTTGCTGATGAAATGGCAGAACTGGGACTAGAAGACAAGTTTCCTGACTCTCAGTCTTGTTATCCAGCCACAAGACCCTACTGTCTTCTCTGTCTAAATAAGTTCAGAATCTTGAGGATATGCACAATCTTGTAAAATTAAGTTGGCCCTTGTGCTAAACAGCATAACAATAATAACTGCAATAAGACAAATAAAGGAATCTCAATCGGGTAAAATGAACCAAGCCTGCTTGAAGCCAAGTTCTGAGATCTAAGTAATTATTATAGGAGAAAAACGTCTTTATATTCTAGAAATGTGATTATTTATGATTATACAGCAGACAATCCTGAAATTTGCACATTTCAGTGGGTCTTTCTGGAATGCATTTTATATACAAATCATATCTTTGAAATTAAGAGGATAATAATAAGACTGCTCTTCTACAGCATCTTACATCTGTGGAGCTCAGTGTGCTTTGCAAGCATTAATAAATTAAGCCAAAACCCAGCTCTGTGTGGTAAGAAAGGAGTATTATCCCCCTCTTATGAATAGGGAAACTCTAAGGCATGAGGAGGTTAATGGCTTGGATGTCTTTAATAGGAACTGTTTAAGAGTAGCAGACGTGTTAGTCTGTAACCGCAAAAAGAACAGGAGTACTTGTGGCACCTTAGAGACTATCAAATTTATTAGAGCATAAGCTTTCATGGGCTACAGCCCACTTCATCAGATGCATAGAATGGAACATGTAGTAAGAAGATATAGATATACAGAGAAGGTGGAAGTTGCCATACAAACTGTAAGAGGCTAATAAATTAAGATGAGCTATTATCAGCAGGAGAAAAAAACTTTTGTAATGATAAACAAGATGGCCCATTTAGACAGTTGACAAGAAGGTGTGAGGATACTTAACCTTGGGAAAGAGATTCAATATGTGTAATGACCCAGCCACTCGCGGTCTCTATTTAAACCCAAGTTAATGGTATCTAGTTTGCATATTAATTCAAGCTCAGCAGTTTCTCCTTGGAGTCTGTTTTTGAAGCTTTTCTGTTGCAGAATTGCCACCTTTAAGACTTTTACTGAGTGGCCAACTATTTCACATTTGGGGACAATATACACCTTCAAGTCAGCGGCACTGCTATGGGTACCCGCATGGCCCCACAGTCTGCCAACATTTTTATGGCTGACTTAGAACAACGCTTCCTTAGCTCTCATCCCCTAACGCCCCTACTCTACTTGCACTACATTGATGACATCTTCATCATCTGGACCCATGGAAAAGAAGCCCTTGAGGAATCCACCATGATTTCAACCATTTCCATCCCACCATCAACCTCAGCCTAGACCAATCCACACAAGCAGTCCATTTCCTGGACACTACTGTGCTAATAAGCGATGGTCACATAAACACCACCCTATACCAGAAACCTACTGACCGATATACTTACCTACATGCCTCCAGCTTCCCTCCAGGACACACCACATGATAAATTGTCTGTAGCCAAGCTGTATGATACAACCACATTTGCTCCAATCCCTCAGACAGAGACAAACACCTACAATATCTCTATCAAGCATTCTTAAAACTACAATACCCACCTGCTGAAGTGAAAAAACAGATTGACAGAGCCACCTACTACAGGACAGGCCCAACAAAGAAAATAACAGAACGCCACTAGCTGTCACCTTCAGCCCCCAACTAAAACCTCTCCAGCACACCATCAGAGATCTACAACCTATCCTGAAAAATGATCCCTCACTGTCACAGATCTTGGGAGACAGACCAGTCCTCGCTTACAGATAGCCCCCCAACCTTAAGCAAATACTCTCCAGCAACCACACACCACACAACAAAAACACTAACCCAGGAACCTATCCTTGCAACAAAGCCCGATGCCAACTCTGTCCACATATTTATTCAAGTGACACCATCATAGGACCTAATCACATTAGCCACGCCATCAGGGGCTTGTTCACCTGCACATCTACCAATGTGATATATGCCATCATGTGCCAGCAATGCCCCTCTGCCTTGTACATTGGCCAAACCGGACAGTCTCTATGCAAAAGAATAAATGGATACAAATCTGACATCAGGAATCATAACATTCAAAAACTGGTAGGAGAACACTTCAACCTCTCTGGCCACTCAGTAAAAAACTTAAGGGTGGCAATTTTGCAACAGAAAAGCTTCAAAAACAGACTCCAAGGAGAAACTGCTGAGCTTGAATTAATATGCAAACTAGATACCATTAATTTTGGTTTAAATAGAGACTGGGAGTGGCTGGGTCATTCCACAGATTGAATCTCTTTCCCCATGTTAAGTATCCTCACACCTTCTTGTCAACTGTCTAAATGGGCCATCTTGATTATCACTACAAAAGTTTTTTCTCCTGCTGATAATAGCTCATCTTAATTAATTAGCCTCTTACAGTTTGTATGGCAACTTCCACCTTCTCTGTATGTGTGTGTGTGTGTGTGGTGTGTGTGTGTGTATATATATATATATATAATCTTCTTCCTATATGTTACATTCTATGCATATGATGAAGTGGGCTGTAGCCCACGAAAGCTTATGCTCTAATACATTTGTTAGTCTATAAGGTGCCAGAAGTACTTCTGTTCTTTTTAATAGGAACTGTGGATGCTCAGTACTAGAGCTGGTTGGGAATTTTCTATCAGAATAATTTTCTGATAGAAAATACCTTTTTTTGCAAAATTGAATTTTTCTGTGGGAAAATGTCAGTTTTGCCAGAACATTTCAGTTTTCTATGGGGAACATCAAAATCGTGGCTGGTTGCCTGGAGGGCTCTTGTCAGTTATACTTTCTGCCTGCAGAGAG